AATGTTTGCCCTGGAGGAGACTATGCGGAGGGCCCAGGGGTGACTCTCGGAGACCACCACGCTTGGCACCAACAGAGAAGGGTCGTCCCCTCCCCCCAAGAGGAGAAAAGGCTGGGGATTAGAGGTTTTGTTGCAGAAATGGGCATTGGTGGTTCATAATTCAATTTGCATTGGGAAAAACCAGAGCTGTTATCACAGCTCGTGTGCGGTTGCTTCCCGCACCTGGAGTAAAGGTGATCTGTAGAGCATGAAAGTTGTTGTGTTCGGAAGGAACGAAAGCCAGGGAGGTGACCGGCAGGATGACTAATATTTATTTATTTATTTATTTGAATTTATATACCGCCCTTCTCCCGAAGGACTCAGGGCGGTGTACAGCCAGAATAAGAACACACAAATAGAAAATTTAATAACAATTTAAAATATATATTAAACAATATGGCCCGTAACTAATCAAAAACCCATTTTTAAACCTCAAGAATTAAAAATTAAAAGTTAAAAAGAATTAGAATTTCCGCGCAGAGGTGGGTTTCAGCAGGTTCTGACCAGTTCTGGAGAACCGGTAGCGGAAATTTTGAGTAGTTCGGAGAACCAATAGTAAAAATTCTCACTGGTCCCGCCCCCATCTATTCTCTGCCTCCCAAGTCCCAGCTGATCGGGAGGAAATGGGGATTTTGCAGTAACCTTCCCCTGGATTGGGGAGGGAATGGAGATTTTATCCTTCCCCTGCCACACCCACCAAGCCACGCCCACCAAGCCATGCCATGCCCACCAAGCCACACCCACAGAACCGGTAGTAAAAAAAATTGAAACCCACCACTGTCTCCGCGTCCCTGGAGAGGTGATGGGTTGGGACAGGGAGTTGGGACTCCATCTTAGAGACAAAAGCAGACATGCCTTCGAACAAAGATCGTGAGCATCCTGGATTGGGGATTCAGCCGGGGCAGATCTCTTCACGGGGACCTTGTGTAGCACAAGAGATCCACTCTGGCTAATGCAGTCAATGGAAGGATAGCAATCAAGACAGGGGTGGGTTCTACTTACCTTTATTACCGGTTCTCTTCGTGCGCGATCGCCTCTTCGGTCGTGCGCTCTGCGCGCAATCGCCACGCGCATGCTCGGTTCGCTCGCAGGACACCAAACTTGCGCTTTGCGCAAGTGCGTTGGGAATCTGCCCAGCTGAGGTGCGGCAATCCGCTCTGCCGCACCTCTCACCTGGGCGAAAAGACCGACATATAAGGTCGGCATAATGCCGGGGCGGGCGGGAGGGCCCAGTTCCCGAAGACAGAGAACCGGTTCGGTGACGTCATATCGTCACCGCTACCGGCTCTCGCGAACCGGACTGAACTGGGAGGAACCCACCACTGAATCAAGATTACCAAAAAAAATGGCACTTAACGTTGCACTAGTGAGATCATACTTGGGATACCGTGTCCAATTTAGAATAGAATAACAGAGTTGGAAGGGACCTTTTAGGTCATCTAGTCCAACCCCTTGCTCAAGCAGGAGACTGGGATGTAAACCGTCAAATCTCGGTGATTTATATTCATCAAAATCAGACAGGTGAATTTAGAGGGCTGGTGGCTAAAACATATGAAGAACGGTTGCAGGAATTGAGTATGTCTAGTCCAGTGGAAAGATGGACAAGAGAGGACATGAGAGCAGTCTTCCAATATTTGAGGGGCTGCCACAAGGAAGAGGGGGTCAATCATTTCTCCAAAGCACCTGAAGGCAGGAGAAGACACGATGGAAACTAATCAAGGAAAGAAGCAACCTGGAATAAAGAAGAAATTTCCTTACAGGGAGAACAATTAGCCAGTGGAACTGCTTGCCACCAGAAGTTGTGGGTGCTCCATCACTGGAGGTTTTTAAGAGACTGGACAGCCATCTTTCTGAAATGGAACAGGGTCTCCTGTTTGAGCAGGGAGTTGGACTAGAAGACCTCCAAGGTTCCTTCCAATTCTATTTTTCTGAGCCAATTCTGAATTCCAGTCACTAGAATACAAAAAAGATGTGGAGACTGTAGAAAGAGTGCAGGGAAAAGCAACAAAGGCGATTAGGGGACTGGAGGCTAAAACATATGAAGAACGGTTGCAGGAACTGGGCATGTCTACTTCAATGACCCTAGAAAGACTAGGGGTGACATGATAGCAGTGTTTTAATATTTGAGGGGCTGCCATGAAGAGGAGGGAATCAACTTATTCTCCAAAGCACCTGAAGGCAGGACAAGAAGCAATGGATGGAAACTAACCAAGGAGAGAAGCAACCTGGAATTAAGGGGAAATAAGGAGGACAATGAACCAGTGGAACTGCTTGCCACCAGAAGTTGTGGGTGGTCCAATACTGGAGGTTTTTAAGAAGAGATTGGACAGCCACTTCTCTGAAATGGGATAGGATCTTCTGCTTAAGCAGTGGGGGGTTGGACTAGAAGACCTCAAAGGTCCCTTCCAACTCTGTTATTCTTTTAAGAAGAAACGGATGGGAACATCATGGAGAGAAGCAACCAAGAACTAAGGAGAAATTTCCCGATCGAAAGAACAATGAATCAGTGGAGGCCTCCAACCTCCGGATATTCATTTTGGATAAATTTGAATCGGGTGGGTTCTAAAACTTTTTACTACCGGTTCTGTCGGCGTGGCTTATTTTGTGGGCATGGCTTGGTGGGGGGGAAACTTTTTTTTAAAAAAAACTTTTAAAAGCATTTTTCCTACAACCTTAAGAGGTTGCAAAAAAAAAAATGCTTTTAGGAGCCTCTGACGATCAGGCAAGTCAGCTGGGATCGTCAGAGGCTTTTAAAGGCTTTTTTTTTTTTTGCAGAAAAAAAATGCTTTTAAAAGCCTCTGATGATCAGGCAACTCAGCTGGGATCGCCAGAGACTTTTATTTTTTTTTACTTTTAAAAGCATTTTTTTGGCCGAAGAGTTTGTAGAAAAAATGCTTTTAAAAGTAAAAAAAAAATGCTCTGATGAGGTGGGCGGGGTAAGCGAGCGGTGACCAGGCCGGGGACCGGTTTGGGGGCGTGGCCAGCCAATGTTATTACAGGTTCTCCAAACTACTACAAATTTTTATTACCGGTTCTTACGAACCGGTGTGAACCGGGAGCAACCTACCACTAATTTGAATCCATTTCCAGCTCCTTTTTCTGGTTTCAGGAGACGTCAGTGAGTTAAATGGTCCCTTTTCAATCTCCTCCATCGACCGAAACATGAAGCTTTCTATAAAAAAACAACGGCGAAAAAACCGACATTGAGAAGGATGGAATGGTGGAAGTCACACACCCGGTTGTGTCTGTGTGTGTGTGTGTGTGTGTGCCTATTATTATTTTTTTCTCCAAAGAATGTCTTTTTTTCTCTCTCTCTCTCTTTTTCTCCGGCCTGTTCTGCAACCATAGAAACCGGGGAGAAAGGGGGAAAAGGTGCTGGGTTACAAAAGCTAAAGAACAATGAATATTATCTCCAGAAAAAGCAGAAAAGCTTCCTTGGGTGAAGATGAGAAGCTGCAAATCCAAAATAAGATCGTTTCCGCCCTCGGCAACGACAGAAGAACAAACTGACTTGGAAAACAACGGGCATGTTTCTAACAGGAGGAGGAAAAAAAATGTGATTTTTGAAGGACATCATGTAACAACAGCCTTGGCACCAGGCTGAATAATTATTCTAGGCTTAAAAAACACTCAAGCACAACCGACTTACGACGGTTCATTTAGCGACCAAAATTACAAAGGCACCGGGAAAAAAGGGATTTAGGACCGTTTTTCACACCTACGACCGTTGGCAGCATCCCCATGATCACGTGATTAAAATTCAGGCACTTGGCAAACTGGCTCGTATTTATGACGGTCGCAGTGTCTTGGAATCACGCGATCCCCTTCTGCGACCTTCTGACTAGCCAAGTCAACAGGGAAGCCAGATTCAGCTTAGCAACCTTATTCCTTCCCTTAACGGCTGCAGCGATTCACTTAACAGCTTTGGCAAGACAGGTGGTAAAATGGGGAGAAATGTACTTAACAGCTGTCTGGCTTACAGCAACAGAAATGTTGGGCTCCATTGTGGTCGTACGTCGAGGACTTGCTGTATTATATGCACCAAAATGGAAGGAGACTTTGATTCCCACAATGGACGAATGGCTTGAAACATTGACGGAGTTAGCAGAGATGGCAAAATTGACTCTTTTCTTAAAGAAAAGAATGGAATTAATTTTGTTTTCGCTCGGAAACCATTTCTGGACTTTTTGCTTGAGGTGGGGAGAAAAAAAGTGAAACTTTGATTTTGGGTTTACCGATTTGATAGGTTTGTTGTTACAGAAACACTAGCATACAGGGAGTCCCCAACTTACGGTTCATTTAGTGACCGTTCCGAGTTACAACTGCCCTGAAAAAAGTGGCTTATGACCGTGTTTTAGACTTATGACCATTGCAGCATCCCTGTGGTCACGTGATCGAAATTCAGACCCTCGGCAGCTGGCCCCTCATTTATGACGGTTTGCAGTGACCCAGGGTCACACGATTCCCCTTTTGTGACCCCCCTGACTAGCAAAGTCCACGGGGAAGCCAGATTCACTTAACAACCGTGTTATTAACTGAACAGTCGCAGCGATTCGCTTAACAACGGTCGCAAGAAAGGTAATAAAACGGGGCAGAATTCACTTAACAGATGTCTCACTTAAGCAACAGAAATTTGGGGCCTCCGTCGCGGTCGTAAGCCGAGGACTAGTCATATATTATTACGTAAAAGTAAAAAGTTGAGGTGGTGTGGTATTACCTGTGCCCAAAAGGAGTCAGAAGTCAATGCTTTTTTTTTTATTTGCTTTTTCCCCTTCCCCTTTTCCTCCCTCATTTCCCCCTTCTTTTCCTTTTTCTTTGTACTTTTGATAAACTGATAAAAACGTACGCCCCCAAAAGGAACCAGCTTCCATTCATGCTGGAGGTGCTGAGCAGGCAAAGATGCTTGTGGGAAATTTCACTGAATTATATATCTATATCTATATATATATTTCCCTCCTCAGGCAGAATGCCGGAATTTTATCAAAGTGCTGCTTCTACGCAACGACAACGTGCTCTTTGTGTGCGGGACGAATGCCTTCAACCCCGTTTGCTCCGATTACAGTGTGAGTACCTGATCCCCTTCTCTGAGCTTCCTCTGCAGGACTTCCCAACTGATAAGTACAAGCAAGCAATCAGAATAGAGTTGGAAGAGATCCTGTAGATCCGTGATGGCGAACTTATGGCACGCGTGCCACCTGAGCCATATATGTGGGCACGCAAGCATTGCCCTAGCTCACCTCCAGTTCATATACGTGCGCCGGCCAGCTGATTTTCGGGTCTTCCGGGCCCACCGGAAGTCGGCAAACGGGCTGTTTCCGGCCTCCAAAGGGCCTCCGGGGGTTGGGGAAGGCCATTTTTGCCTCCTCCAGGCTCCTAGAAAATCCCTGGAGCCTGGGGAGGGTGAAAAATGGGCCTACCAGGCCCAACAAGCCATCGCGGGCCAAAAGTGGGGGGACCGCAGGAGGGGTCACACAGGCATGCACGTGGGGACGTATTGAAGTATGGGTGTGGGCACACACATGCGTGACCCCCCCTCCTCCCTCCCCCCGTTTTTGGCACGTGACGGCAAAAAGGTTAGCCATCACTGCTGTAGATCTTCTGGTCCAACTCCCAATCCAAACCATCTTCCTTCCTCCCTCCCTCCCTCCCTCCTCCCACTTTTTCCTTCCTTCCTTCCTTCCTTCGATTTTTCTTTCTTCCCTCCCTCTTTCCTTCTGTCCATCCCTATCTCTGTCTGTCTGTCTGTTTGAATAACAGCCTTGGAGGTCTTCTAATCCAACCTTCTACTCAAGCAGGAGACCCTCCCCCATGTCCAGACTTTTCTTGAAAACCTCCAGTGATGGAGCACCCCAAACTTCCGGTGGCAAGTCATTCCACTGGTTAATTGTTCTCTGCAACATCCTAACAGTGACAAACAATTAACCAGTGGAGCTGCTTGCCTCCAGAAGTTGTGGATGGCTCCATCACTGGAGTTTTTTTAAGACAAGTCTGGAGAAGCCATTTGTCTGGAATGGTAATAGTGGACTGTTCTGTCCCCAACCACACGCACACACACCAACAGACGTTCAGGAGTTAAAGACCAAACCAGCCGACAAAACCCTTTTCCTTATGATAACGGAACTTGGCAACAACCTAGTGGCTGCCTGCCAAAAGTTTATTATTTACAAAGAGGAGAGATAACTTCTCCCCACTTCTGGTACATCAAAGGAAAGCAGTTCAATAATTACGGAATTAAATCAAGTCCAGAGATACTCCAGCAAAATCTTAAAGCAAAAGTCCGGCAATGCAGAATGGCGTGGAAGCTTTCAGCTTTGTTCGTCACAAGGTTGGACTGGCCACCATGCTCCCTTTTATATCCTGTGGGGTGTGGTCCAGTGACTCAGCCTAATCTCGGGCACGCCTTTTCTTCTGTTGCGTGCGCTTATCTCTGCGACGCTGGCGTGGATCCAGCCAAGACTCATTACCCTCATCACTGTCCATCTGTGGCTGCGTGGACGTGCTTGGCCCTGGCCCTATCTCTTGCCCTTTGGCGGACACCGAAGGCCTTGCCAAAGAGGAGGGTCCTGGAGAGGGAGGCCTTGCCAACTCCTCTCCTTCACTCTCGGAGTCCTCTCCTGCCGATGACACAGGCTCAGGTAACGGAGCCACAACAGTGGACACGGCAAGAGACTCAGATGAAACCTTCCCTAGTTTCTCAAGTGGGGTGGGGTGGGGTGGAGAGATGCTACCTTGGGAACAGTCAGATAAGAGAAGGCATAGCCCGAAGCTGCTTAACAGATGGAGAAAGAGAAGAGACCCTCCCTAGTTTCTCAGAGGATAAAAGGGGGATAGAGAGAAACTGCTTGGGAACAGTCCGATAAAAGAGGGCATAGCCCCAAGCTGGAGAAAGAGACTTAATCAATCAGAATATTGCTGGAAGAGACCTTGGAGGTCTTCTAGTCCATCCCCCTGCTCAGGCAGGAGACCCTATCCCATTCCACAGAAATGGTTGTTCAACCTCTTCTTAAAAACTCCCAGTGATGGAGCACCCACAACTTCTAGTGGCAAGCTGTTCCACTGGTTAATTGTTCTCACTGTCAGGAAATTTCTCCTTAATTCCAAATTGCTTCTCTCCTTGGTTAGTTTCCACCCGTTGCTTCTTGTCCTGCCTTCGGGTGCTTTGGAGAATAATTTGACCCCCTCTTCTTTGTGGCAGCCCCCCAAATATTGGAAGACTGCTATCATGTCCCCCACTAGTCCTCCTTTTCTCTAGACTCGCCTAACCCAAACCCTTCAACCGTCCTTCGCATGTTTTTTTTGTCTCCAGACCTTTAAATCATCTTAGTTTGCTCTTCTTTGCCCTTTTTCCAAAGTCTCAGCATCTTTTTTGTAAACGTGGTGACCAAAACTGGATGCTGTATTCCAGGTGTGGCACCGGCACGTCCTGGATTTACAACCATCCATTTAGTGACTGTTTGAAGCTACGACGGTCGCAAGGGTGAAAACCGGTTGCAAGTCGCTTTTTGCAGCACCGTTGCGACTTCGAACGGTCACTAAACAGATAGTTGTAAGTCGAGGACTGCCCTGAATTCTTAAAAATTCTTAAATTCTTCCCTGAATGGGAGAACTCTAGCCAGGGGTGTTTGCAAAGCATGGGGGCAAATAATCAGCAGGGAGAACTTCAGGCTAGTGGCCGCCATCTTGACTTCACTGTGGCCGCCATCTTGACTTCACTGTGGCCGCCATCTTGACTTCAGCCATTTACTGTGGCTGCCATTTTGACTTCAGCTGTTTACTGTGGCTGCCATCTTGACTTTTTTGACCTATCCGTGCCTCCTGAGTCCGCTCTTTAGAGGTTTTTAAGCCTAGGGTCTTATACCCCAGAGCTAAGCCAGTCCTGGTTTCTTCTGGGTTGGGGTTCTGTGTCGGTTCTAACCCATTCTCTTCCCAACAGATGGACTATCTGGAACCAATGGGGGACAATATCAGCGGCATGGCCAGGTGCCCTTACGATCCCAAGCACGCCAACGTTGGCCTCTTTACAGGTCAGTGCAGCGGGAGGGAGGGGCTGCTGGGTTTTGTTTCGTTTTCATTGTGTTGAAAATGAAAATTCTTCCTACCCTCACCTCTCTTCCTAAGATCTCCAAGTGGTCCACTTTCCCCCAGGAAATCTTCCTGAAATGGCTTAGGAAGCCTGGTGGATATTTCTTTTGTTTGCCTTTAATAATGCTGGTTAAGTTGGAAATGATGCCACCAAATTCCTGATTCTACTCCTTGATAGTCCCAAACAACAACAACAACAACTTCTTCCTCCTCTTCCTCCTCCTCCTCCTCCTCCTCTTCTACAAAAACCCCACTCCCTCAAGATGTGTTACTTACTTTGGTAATGAGACGTCTGCAAGAAAACAAGCAAGCTCAGAGCGCACCAAAGACCCCTCAGTCTTCCTCCTCCTCCTCCTCTCCACAAACCCCACCCCCTTCTAGCACTGAGGATGTTCCCTAGTTGGGTCATGAAATGTTTGCAAGAAAACAACCAAGCTCAGAGAGCATCAAGCACAGCACAGTCCTTTTCCTCCTGCTCCTGCCCTCCTCCTCCTCCTCTCCACAAACCCCACTCTCTTCGAGCATTGATGATGTTCCCTAGTTGGGTCATGAAACATCTGCAAGAAAACCAGCAAGCTCAGAGAGCACCAAGGAGCCCACAGTTCTTCTTCTTCTTCTTCTTCTTCTTCTTCTTCTTCTTCTTCTTCTT